TCCACATTTTCTAAATAACATTTGTCTTTCATTTTCAAAGTAACTACAAGTTAGGATGAAGTGCATTTCATCATCTGATTTCATTGTAATGGTCAGTTTGAACTTTAACCAAACGTAATAATTGTCCCTGATTCGAACATGAATATGTTTTACAATTCAATGTTCCACAAAAGATTTATTGATGACCTTTAATTGGAATCGCCCTTGTTTCTAATGTCCAATCAATACCTACGGGTATCAAAAAAACTGGTTTATTGAAAACATTTATTATTCGTCAACAGGTTGTCGTGCAGCGTGTGTTCGAATTTACATGCATTGTGTATGTCACTATGAGCCCCATATTGATGAAGACAAACCGCAATGACCACTGTCCTTTAAACTAATAATTATCGGTAGTGTCAATTTTCTAGACTATAGACTATATAGGTTTTATACAGTGATAAGTCCTAATCATGTAGGTATCAACAGACTAAACAACACCATACATTATCCGTATCATGTTATATATTCCTGAGCATCCCATAATATTCAAAACACTTTATTACAGATCTGGCTTTAAAAGAGACAGCCACTCAATAAAAATGACCAGGTTGACATTAAGAGTTTCTGCTCTGTTTATTATTGTCCTGAATTCCTTAGTGGCTGTGAATGCACAAAGTAAGTACAATGAAGAAAATGATTGTGATTGAATAAATGAAACTAAATATGTCTGTAATTTAATTGTGCTTTGCTGTTTGCGATTATATATCCTATATTTGCTGCTTCATAAACTACCATGTTATTGATATCAAAGTATGTCTTGTTATTTTAATGGTAGGAAAGGTTGTAACTAATGTGTGTTAATTGTTAAAACTGTGTTAAGTGTTAATTTTATTATTACACAAATTTTAATTTTAACCTAAAAAAATGTGTTTGTTCTATTGCCACAGTTTGTTTTTATGTTAATAGAGTCACCCAGTAGGTCAGTAAATTTAGATAACAAGGGAACTGGTATTTACATATGTTTTTTCATTGGTGCACATTTTTGACAAAAATTCATCAAATTTAGAATGTTTGTGAAGCTCTAACTTAAATATAAATCTCTACCCCAATTTGTATAGAGTTTTTCAAAATATATATCATTGTCAAGGGAATACATGCTTAATTTAATACAAATCTTGAAAAAGAAGAATAGTTTTTCCTTGGTTATTATAAAACACATGATCAAATTTCTTTAATATGGCTTTACTTTTATTTTATTTGGTTGTTAACAAATCCCAAATAAAAATACTACTATCAAAGTACTATTCCGCTAAAAAACTTGATTAAACATCAATGAAATCCTAATTTTGAGCAATATACAGAGGTGGCGGCATGAAATTTGACACGGGGTGGGGGTAGTCGGTCAAGATCTGCTCACCAACCTTGCGCCGAATGCGCGACATTACTAGAGGGTCCGGGGGCAAGATCCTCTTAAAAATTTGGAAATCTAGACCCTCTGGAATGCTATTTTCTGCATTTTGAGGGGCAAATTTTGCTGATACAAAGGGTTTCAGCTTTTTGAGGGGACGATCACCCCCCTCTGCCCTCCTTGTGCCGACGCCACTGATATATCATGTTGTTTTCTATGATAACAAACATTGGCAATGCACAGTCCCTGTTGTGTATTTACATGTCAAAAAGTTCATCACTAGCTGGGATCCAGGAGTGTGGGTGGTATTTTGGCAGAGAAACAGCTATAATATAAAGATTATAAAGATTGGATGGCAAAACATTTTTCAGTGTATCTCTCAATATATTTTATGTTTATCAACTTTAATAGGATCAAATAATCCAATATGTATAAACCTTAAGCTGGATACAATGTTTTAATGAAATCACCTTGTTCATTTCTGAGAAATAGTTCTGGATCTGTTTCATTTTGTTTCATTGACAAAATGGCCGTCAAATCGACAAATCGCAAAATAACACAAACTATGATATAGTGCTCATGTGAATCAACAGCAATAAAAATTGCCAGTATCAAAAATATGACACGCCCATGTAACCCAATATACTTGTTCAACATACAAAATTTGAATAAATTGACATGGGATGAAAAAAAACTATATATTATTCTTGATATGAATGCTAATATTGTGAAAATATTTAAAACAATTGACATACAATTTCCAGGCAGATAATAGTTACCCGGTATATACATAGTGAGGATAACTCCCAGAATACATGCCAAACTTTTCACCACCAGTTCCTTTTTTTCATCAAAAAAAGTACTGTTTATAGTCTGCACTTTCCTTCTAAAGTTTGGGACAAAAATAGTTGGCTCCAAAATTAGGGTTCATTTCCAGAAATATTATATTAAGAATATAAGGGAAAAGTACGAGATAGTCAGGTGGAGAAAATATTAACTCTCTGTATGGATGCCTACTTTAAAATAGTCAATTTTTGCTTAGAATTAATTTTCCTTATTTTTGCTGATAAATAATTCAGTGAGAATAAAATCTAGCAAATATACCATTTTTCCTATATTTTACATTCAACTTGTCAAATATCAGTGAAAATAAATTCCATGCAAAACACTCAAAAATTCTTTTCAGTTAAAATTAATTACAGCTAAAATAAAGTATTATACAGTACATAAATAAGCTAAAAATAGATTTGTGCTCGTCTGTATTTTTATGCACGAGTTCTATTGATGTGTTTTTGCAGGGTGACACAAAGATTACACCCAAAAAGTATTTTAAAGTATATAAAAAATACTGTTCCTCTTCCTCATCAGCTTTGTTAGTTGCCAACACCACAACTATTATTGGTATTGACTTGAGTGTAAACAACAACAAACGTACAATATATAGTGGAATTCAGGTTAGTAAAATTAATATACACTGATTAATTTAATTTTGTCAAAGACAAATATTGCAAATGTTGAACTCGTGAGTATTGTGGACTTTTGTAGCAGTTTTGAGTTTTCACAAAATTTTGTCTTTTTATATGAAGTTCAGTTTTTTTTAAATTTCTGATGTATCAATTGTAGAGAGCTGTAGCAGTCGGTGTTGATTACGCTGACAATGAGTTGTTTTGGAGTGATGTAGAAGAAAGGGCTATCTATAGAGGAAGTATTGATGGACAGGTTGCACCTATTGCAAATCTGTCAGGTAAGTTTTCAATTCACTGACAAATTATCTAAGAATGTACTGTAAAATGACAAATTTTCACTGGGTTTAAATTTCACTGATTTACCATTTCAGGCATATTCAGTGGGTTTTAAATTCACGGTTTTATCATTTAGATAATGTGTTCTATGCTCAATTTCACAAATTCGCTGGGTTTTAATTTAGCACATTTTCCAGTCAGCGAAATAAGCAAAATTAAAACCCAGTGAATAATTAATCCTTTTACAGTACCATATTTCTACATTCTTTTTGACAATCAGAGCACAATATTTCAAGAACTTTTCATTAGCTTTTAATAACATTAGATATATGGAATTATTCTCAACCTTGATTAGTTTAATTTATGATATATGCATATCAACTACCTAATTTGCATAATAGTTTTTAGTAGCCAATTTTTAGATTCGTTGGGCATGTAGTTGCCATGGGGCTGTGTGATGACAATTATAACAAACTAAAAGGTAACACATGGTACAATGTATTAGTTTATAAACATGTTATAATTTTGAAAGTTAATTTGCATAATATTAAAAAAAAGCTTAAATTTAATTTTTGTCATATTTTCATTATTATGGACATTACAATACCAAAAATATAAAGAAAAAGAAATGTTTAAAATATCTCTCATATTAAATGTTTTCTTCATATCTTAATATTGAGCTTAGAAATATGAGCTGTATAAACTGATAAAATTGTAATCCTATATTGTTTATTATGCCATTAAATTTACTTTTCCAGTGTACCGGGTAATAACTATTCCATATGTATGCTCATTGTAACATTGTATAGTGCTTGTATAAAAGTGTGTACAATGTCTGCTAATCTCTGCTAGTCTGCTAATAAGTTATTTGCAGATCTTTTAGTTATTATATTATTGTCTTGACTTCAATTCATTCTGCTATCATCTAGAAACACCTGTACTTCTAAAGTTGATAGATACCTAAGGTATTAACCGTATGTGCTTACATAAATGACATGTGTCTACTGGTATAGTTATACTAAGTCATGCTTTAGGGATCAGTATATATAAAAAGAAATCAATGTTTGGAACGAGTGCACCTCTAATTGTGATTTCTTGTGATAGAGCAAACATAAATAAGCTAAAAATTGATTATTCACTTTTTTTTTAATTTTGCTTATTTCGCTGACTGGAAAATGCGTTAAATTAAAACCCAGTGAATATGTAAAATTTAGCATAGTACACATTATCTAAATGATAAAACCATGAATTTAAAACCTTCTGAATATGCCTGAAATGCTAAATCTGTGAAATTTAAACCCAGTGAAATTTAGTAATTTTACAGTATATGAATGTGATCATGGAGATATATATATATCTGTTTATACTTCCATGATGTGATACTCTTGTGATAGAGCAAATAGTGATTACATAAATAAGCTAAAAATAGATTTGTGCTCATCTGCCGTTTATGTCAATTGATGTGTTTTTGCTGGGTGACACAAGGGTTACGTATATGTATATAGGCCAGGTTAGGACATCAGTTGTATAAAATCATTGGTGTGTAGCATCACCTATGCTTAAATACAATTGTTATTGTCAAATGAATCTTTCTGAAGACGCTATTCAGTCATCAGTTGGATATTACAATGGAATAGGCTGTATGCAAGTTTGGAACCTTTATTGATAAATAAATGTTTATCATATACAGAGACAAGATTAGATTTTAATGCCTTTATAGTAAAAATATGTCATTTTTAATTTTGCTAAATTTTTTCCGACATTATTCTCATGATTTCATGTACACTCTCTAGTACTATGAGAATATTGCCATATATCATCTTCATTTTTATATTAACATGTTGAGTGCCAAATTTTATTCAAAATACGGTAAATTTGTTCAAATTTTCTGTAGTTTCCCTGAATTCAATCTAAATATTAGACCAAACAAAAAAAAGGGAAATTACTAGTTGTTGATTAAAAAAAAAATGAAAATTTTGCAACATTTTATGTGGATGGTGCCTAAAGTTGACAATGGTGCTAAAAAAATTAAACTTATCATTGACTGGGATATGCACACATACAGTGAACACTATAATTATCAAATATCATATTTTCACCATTGGATAATATTATTTGAACCTCTTATATTTGTGTTTTTGGATAAAATTTTTCGATACGTTATTAGTAAATTGCTGCTAAAAAATATGATTTGAAATTTTTTTAACAGTCTGTTAAAATATCATAAATCTGAGAATGAAATTCACTGTCACTGTGATCATTCATAAAGTTGCCTGCTACCATTGAAACAAACAATACGATTTTGTAGACTTTGGCAGTCTTGTTTTACTGTATGCTGTGAATTAGTTTCATGATCCAATGCAAGATGGCTGAATGGCAGCCATTTTAGTACTAACAATTCACAAAAATTAGGCATTTCTGCCATTTCAGGAGAGGATTGTGATTGTTCATGGTCAGATTTCTACAAACATGGTGCATTGAACATATTGGGACCCAAATGCACATCAGATTGTATTCAAAATGGCTGACTGTCAGCCATTTTGTTTTAATGAAGTCTGTTTTAGATCTATATATTATTGACTTGCCATGACCGATTATGCTCAAACTTTTCACATGATTCATAAATCATGTCACACATATGTACATGCATTCGTTTACGATTTGTTTACTATTGAATAACAGGGATGCAGACTCTTGAAACTAAGATTCACAGTATATGCCACAATATTCAGTTATTTAAATTAGATGTGTATTGTCAAATATGCAAGAACATGGCCACAAGTTTAATATCTTGTTGATTATTTGTAAATTTGTAATCGTGAAAATATATTTTATTGTAGATCTTGGCAGACCCAATGGTATTGCTATAGACTGGATAACAAATCACATCTACTGGACTGACGGTTTGTATGGTACAATTGACGTTGCCGACTACAATGGCGACAATCGCCGAACTTTACTTTATAGTTTGTCAAATCCGAGAAGTATTACACTTGATCCTGTCGATGGGTGAGTATTAAAAATATATAATTTGTGTCTTGTCACTGCTCGTGATCAATTTGATTTGAAATGCCTTTTTCCTTTTATGAGTCAGTACTGCCCAAACTTGATAAATGCACATTTGGGTTGTGTTGGGTGAAGGGCAGGGTGCAAATATGGTGTCTCTATTTGTCCAGTTTGGCCCGGCTGACCATGCAGGGCGAATAGGGTACCTCCATGATTGTGAGATTTTTCGATGGACACATATGCACCTAATATTATCAAGTACATTCATTCTCTTTCACCCAATTTGCATAATATAATTCGACCACTGTTAATTAAGGCACATATTAAATTTTACTCATATTAACTTATAAATATGTTTGTATCTGCAGACATAAACCTTGAGATATTTTCACTATTTTTTTTAATCCTAGAATTATGTTCTGGACAGACCAGGGTAGTAACACGATAGAAAGTGCCAATATGGATGGTAGTAACCCACAATCATTGGTCAATACTGGACTTTATTGGCCCAATGAGATCGTTTATGATTCCCAGTAAGTATATGATTGTCATTGATCAATATATGAAGGACAGTGGTTGTCATGTGCCAGACATGGGGTTCATATGAAAATAGGTTGGTTTATCACAAATGCGCACATATCTGCAGCAGTGACTTTTAATCATGCACAGATCAGAGTTTATAAAAAAAGATTAAGCGACAGAATCAAGATTTATATAAAAAATTATGATCGGCTACATACTTTATTTTAGCTGGAATTAATTTTCGCTGAAAAAACGTTTTGGGTGTTTTGTATGGAATTTATTTTTACTGATTTTTGACAAGTTGAATGTAAAATATAGGAAAAAAGGTATATTCGCTGGATTTTTTTTTCACTGAATCATTTCTTCAGCGAAAATAGCGAAAATAAATTCCAAGCAGAAATAAAGTACTCTACAGTACCCTAATAAGTGATTTCCCACTCACTTATCTTACAAGATCTTACACATTGAGTTATAGACACGAACCGAGCCTCTGCCGCAAAAATTAAATGATTTGATTTTGTATTAGAAATTTTTTGTATAGCTCAATGTCGAAAAGCCAATCTTTGATAGGGGATTATTGCATTAAGATACCTATACTTCATCAAAATTGACCATCGTCAAATGTGTGTAGTACACTATTAAGCATGGAAATACCCCAAAATCTTTTCGCATTTGTTGAATCCCACGCAATGTTCTGACATTACTGCGATGCAATTGTATTTGTTTGTCCTGTTTTTGCATTTGATTTCACGCATAACCAAGATTCTCAAAATGAACCGCTGTGTGCTTGTGCGTAAAACACAAATCTGGTGCATGATTGTGCAAGAATTAACCTCTGTTCATCTAATCTTGACTGCGTTAAGTGAATACAACACTTTATTGAAATTGGATGTACTGTATTTGCTCTATTAGCAGCACATGTCCTTGCGTACAATGTATGGCCAAATAATTAAGTCATAATTTGTTTAATGATATAGTATACAATACATGCAACAATACGTGTTTTTATCGGAGATTCGCTTCTAATAAAGCAAATATGATACATATTATGGCAATCAAGAACTTGAACATGAATATTTGGCTCAGCGAGGTTTAACCATCATTGATTGATTTAAGGATGCTGTATACGTTTTTGGTATTGATTTTCTAAACTGATATTTTCATATAAAATATTTACTGAACCACACAAAGCTATATATTGAGGGAAAGCCTAATTTCACACTAGATATGAAATGAAACGATTGGTATATATTTGTATGAGGGGAAATCTATTTTGATACAACACATTTGTTTTTCATTAATAGGAGTAAGACTCTGTATTGGATTGATGGCTATTATCATAACATTAAGTCATTAGAATACGGTGTGTCAACAACTCCAACTGAAGTGGCTGATTTATCTACTGTATCAACTGACATCATGTTTGGATTAGGAATGATTGGCAACTCTCTATACTTCAGTGTCTGGAATGTCAGTAGCATCTGGTCTGTTATCCCCGGGTATGATCCAGTTTTGGTGACGTCTGATGGGCTTGCTGATGAAGTGTTTGGATTGGCCGTTAGTGACGCATCAATTCAGACAGAGACTAGTAATGGCTGCACTAATCGCTCCCCGTCCTGTTCCCATATATGTTTGCCCGATGGTTTGAATAGTGGATCGTGTGCATGTCCCTCATTTGATGAACTTACACTCTCTTCTGATGGATATTCATGTGAATGTGAGTACATTTGTCAGCACTTTAAGTCTTTTACATGTATTCTGAATCATTGAATATGGTTACTATAGCGACAAAATATGCACAAGCCTCACTTTCAGTTTGAGTCAATTTTTAGTTTTTATTAACAAAATTTTGCAATTTTTGTCCCAATCTTCTTAAGGAAAGTGTGATGAAAAGAGGGAACTGGTGAAAAAAAGGTTAATGCAAACTTTTGGTTGAATATCCCTAATGGAGTTAATAAATTCAACCTCGAATTTAAAAATAATTTTATCTGCTGCAGATTCAAAGTTTTGTCATCACCAGAAATTGATTTCTTTTTGTTAAAAAAACATTTTTGGTTAGTTTTGAATGTTTTAATAGTTGTTATTTTTATTGTTTTTATATTTGCAAACTTTTTAAATATCTGGTGTTGTAAATACAAATTAAGTGACTAAAACAAAAGGAACCTTGAATATAACCACATGAGGGCGCTATATTTTGAGAAGAGCTTTTGTTTCACACATTACCAATAATCATCTATTATTATTATTATCTATAACAGAATTTGAAACTAAAATTCAAACTTAATTATGATTTTACATTCAATTTCAGTGTCTGATGACTTTTTACTGTATTGTGCTGGGAATGACGGTCAGATACGAATGAAATCATTGGACGGCGATCCTGATGGACGTAGCATTGTGATTGATCAGACTGCAAGATGTGTGGCATTGGACTACCACCCAGTACAAAAGGTTAGATTAAACAAGTCTACTATACTACCCCGAAAGTCAAAGTCATGTGATAACATACTGTGTTAAAATGTTTTTAATAATTACCATTTGGTACAGGGTTTTTAATGAAATTTATAATACATGTACTGTATTTGGTCTGTTAGTAGCCCATGTACTTACATAAATGGCAGATGTTTGTCTATGGTCAAAATTATGATCATTTTTTAATGATCTAGTATATATTACATGAAGCTAATGTACTATTGCAGATGTATCGCTAATAGACCACATCTGGTGTACCACATGTATACCACTATCAAGAGTGTTTATATGATGTCATAGCTTCACCACACTTTAGTAAACCTTTATTCACAAGTAATTTCTTTCCAACAATAAGACCCCAAATTTCAATAATTTGTAGCTTTGCAGTAGACGTGATGATATCTTCAATTTTCTAGTTTTGATGAATATTTTTGACGTTTTTGGTAAAAAGTGATTTTTTTGACTTCTTGTTGAAAACCGCAAGCCTGATTGTTTTGCTTTATACACATAGGTACTACCGATATACCATTTGTATAATTTTGTGATGATATCTTCAATTCTTTAATTGAAATGTACATTTCTAACAGCGGAGGCTGCTCATTTATATTTCTCATAGTGTTGAATTATAACAAAAAAATGAATCCCCCACAGTGTCATACTAGAGTCAAGGAAAGGTCTAAATGCGGTAATATTTTCAGCTTCCCCTCACATGTCATCTTACAGTAGAACCTCACATGTCATCTTACAGTAGAACCTCACATGTCATCTTACAGTAGAACCTCACATGTCATCTTACAGTAGACCCTTCCCCTCATCTCAAAGCTGAGGGGTAATTGTCACCTGCGCACATGATTGAATTTAGTCTTAAGCGACGATAATGTATGATGCATGTTAAAAATGCAAAGGTTCACGGGTAGATACATATTTGTGAACAACAGTATGCTAAGGCTGACTGATGCATGCACTGGTGACAACTCCCTTGATTTATACTACAATTTGCCAAATATACTTTTGGCACAGAAATTCCTTGTGACTGGATATTTGGAATTTGAAAAAAACCTAATCAAACTATTTTTTTTAATTATGAACCTCAAGTTTTTATTTCAACCAATTTTTAATTCAAAATGGCTGTCAGAGTAGACTTAATACTAAAGTTATTGTTTCCATGGGAACAGGTTCAGGGACTTCTCCTCTTTTTTCATTTATTTAATACATTTTTTCATTCAGCAACATATCATCAAGAATTTGTATTAATAGTGCTTTTTAAATTTTCTGCAATTTTTTTTAGCTATGTTCGTCCTTAATTTTGCGAAAAATCAAGGTTCACAAATTGTACGAGTCAGGTAAAAACCTGAAACAGTGGAGTAGGCTTTGACTTTCATGACATTTATAGTTCTTATAAACATCCTATGATTATCAAACTATCAAAATTTCCAGTAGTGACATTTTAACTACATGCGTGGTTACAATAACCCATGTGATTTTGATTGTAGGTGATCTACTACAGTGATGTTGCCCTGGCACAAATCAGAAAAGTAAATCTTGATGGAAGTGACTCTGAAGTGTTTCTGCAAAAAGGCATAGGCATTGTAGATGGTGAGTGAGACTAAATTAATGCAGGTCAAGAAGTCGGTTGCCTAGATGCCCCAGGCTTTTGCCTCCATGCAAGTCATGGAAATGGTTTCCCAGATGCCCCAGATTTTTGCCAATTTGTATTTAAGGCTTTTTTTTTTAAAAAACACAACAATAGGTAAGCCGAAAAAAAAAAAAATCCCCCAAAATATAAAAAAATGTCTTAAGCGAAAAAAAAACACGTTGTGTAAACCTTATATTTGATACATCTTGCAAACGTTTCATGGGATCTATCATTACCATGGTGTGAAAGTGTACACTCTAATCCATTGAGCCCTTCCTTTATAACACAATCTTAAATAATTTGAAAAGTACAAGAAAAAAAAAAGGAAAATATTGTGCCGAAAATATTACAGGAAAACATGATGCTATTCAAAGAAACATGTGAGCGTGTTTAATACTTATTAATTAATAATTTAATAGTAATTTTGTCTTCTATATAGGACTGGCATTGGATATATTACACAATAGATTGTACTTTACCAATTGGAACATGGTGTTTATCAGTAACACCAGTGATCACTGGGCTCGTATTGAGATGATAGATCTCAGTGGAAACAATCGCAAGAGAATTATAGATGAAGACATTTACAGACCACGTGCAATTATATTGGATGTACAGGCAGGGTATGGATTCTTTTTTATATTCAATCTGAAAATACATGCAGAGAACATGTACTGTGTATAGACAATATTACCCTTCAATCACCATATTTTTGGCTCAAAATTTTTTTTTTACTAAATTGGCTATAGATTTTGAACACAATTTTGAGGAAAAACAAATTTTTAAAAAAATATTGTAAATGATGATAAAAGTTGTTTTTGGTGATCAAAAGATCATTATTCACTGGGTTTTAATTTTGTTATTTTCACTGATACAAAGAAGTTCACTTTCTGGTAATAAAATTGAGATTCCTAAAATTTGGCCAAGTGAGTGGCTATTTGAAAGTCTCAGCAAAAAAAATAAAATAATTTTTGAAATATGAATCAATAATTCTCTTTCATTTATTTGATGCAAATTATCAAGAATTTTAGCACCAAAGTCTACATTTGTCATTTTCCGAAAATTAAAACCCCATAATTTTTGCATGTTTTTGATCTATAGCAAGTCTATTTGGTCCAAAATTATCAAAGCGTTCATTAAAAAAATTAGCAGAATCAACATTTTGCCAGGAAGAATTATAGCAATCAAAGGTTTAATTTAATGTATTTGCATTTTCACTAGTTCGCTGCAGTCATCCTTTAAATGGACACCTGTTGATCTAGAATTAAAAAGTCTCTGGTATATGAATACACTATTGACCCAGTGATTAGTCCACTCAAGTGAATTTAAATATATGCACTAAATATTAGTTTGCTGATTACCTGTGAATATTGATTTGTCAACTTTTCTGTTTTTT